GGGGAGGCGGCGGAGGGGAGCTGTTACGGGGCCTCCTTCCGCCTGGAAGCGGTGACGGCGTCGAGGGGATTTTCTGTGGAAAGGGGGCAGCGAAGGGGGAGAGACGTGAGGAAGCGGGAGCTAAACCGAGCGCTGCCTTTCCCCGAGCAGAGCGCAGGCGTTCGCGGTCCGCCTCGCGGGAGAGGGAGAGGAGGAGAAGAGAGCGGTCCCGGTCCCGGGAGAGGGACAGGAGGAGGAGCCGTTCTCGCTCCCCGCACAGGAGACGGTCCAGGTGAGGGGCAGAAAGGCCAGCGCCGGGGTGGGGACGGGCTGGAGGGGCCCGGGTGAGGGGCGGTTCGGGCGGAACGGGGACGGCGGGAGCTCGTTAAGGCCGTAAAAACCGTCCGGGGTAACGGCGCCGGCGGGAAGCTGCAAACCCGCCTGCCTTCGCAACGTCAGGTCGCCGAGACGGCACCGATCCAGCTCCTCCTCCCCGCCGCGGCTGAAGGAAAGGCGGGACGAAGAGAAGAAGGAGATAAAGGATTCCAAAAGCAAAGAGCGTCAGATCACGGGTGAGGGGGGTGGATTTTCCCCGTTAAATACGTCCTGGGCGCCGAATTCCCCCGCTCGGGCCGGGACCGGCCCGGGAGACGCCCGGGTGCTCGTTTAAAAGGTTTTCGGCGAACCCCGAGGGCTGCGTTTGCCGAACTCTCTTCTTTTCTTGCCTCGGCAGAGGCGGATTTGCAGGGCGAGGATTTGCAGGGCAAGACGGAAGAGGAGATTGAGATGATGAAAACGATGGGCTTCGCCTCTTTCGACACGACGAAAGTGAGTGCGGATCGGCGCGGTGGAGCCCGCAGCTGCCTCCGACGGGCGCGGTGGCGGCGGCGGCGCCGTGCCCTTTTCGGGGATAACATGCCGAGTTTCGGGACCTTTTCTCTTACCCTCTTTCAGGGGAAGAAGGTGGACGGCGCCGCAAACGCGTACGCCATCAACGTGTCCCAGAAGAGGAAGTACAGGTTTGTGCTCGGACTTTGGTGGGTAGAGAGAGGATTTCTTTGACGGGAATAACGCAGCGCGGGGGGAGCTCTGTGGCCGTACACGGCAAGCAGCCCCCTCT